TCCAAAACCTCTGTAAACATAAGAGGCAATTTCTCGACTTTTCAAATTATGGTAGGGTGAATTTATACCTGAAAGCAGTGTTTGATGCCAAATTTGTCTTGCACATTTTCCCACAAATATCTGCATTAGGAAATTTGTATACATTATCGATATGCACCATTGCTCGCTCTGAAAATGATTATATGATATTTTTAAATTTGTCGCGATGATTATGAAGACCTACGTGTAACTCCCATAGATAAATCGTAGGAAAAACCACAGTTGGCGTAAGCAGTCACATTATAGTCTCTGAATTTTCCAGAAGAATCTAGAGCGACCTGGAAAGAATGGGAAATTTCCCCTAGTTCCAACAACAACGTAACAGTGACATGAAGTTTTGCGGGAAACAAAAACCATATCGAGATAAACAAACAAGGACGATAAGCGGAAAAAGCTGACCCCAATTTCTTGAAAGAGTCCCTGTTTTTCCAAAAATCGCCCTACCTAATATAAAACCAGAATCGTGTATCTTTTTCGAAAAGAAGCGCCACTCGGAAAGAAAAACGGAGATGGTACTTTTCTGTTTTCTATCCACGGTACCACTGATTGAAGGATTAAATATAGTATAACAAATAACTGATTCTATACTTGGTTTGAATTACTGATATCAAACGAAGCTTTAACGCCCGAGATTGGAAAAAACGAGTTGATTGTAATTTTGAGCAATTTCAAAATTAGCCGCAATATTAATCTTTTTTTTTTTCGAGAAGACAGTTTGCTCAGTTTTTCAAATTTCGGCACACCTTATAGTTGAATCTGAACGGATGCCGTGTTCCACTTATAGCCATGTCATCATATCGTTCCATCGTTATACGTACTGGCTTTCTCAGTCTAAAATTCATAGATGACAATCCGTCAAATATAACAAATAAAAACCAAAATAATAATAAACAAAATTTACTTCATCGCTGCGATAGCAGCTGGCACTCCAAACAGCGCGGCTGTGCTTTCTTTACCACCAAATCCTCCACCAATTCGCTTTACTTTGACAATGACTTTATGCGCAGGAATTCCAAGACATTTCGCAACTTCCATCTAAATTCCCAGACATTTTGAAAATACACTGATATCTGCGCAGGACC